CAATCCGCCAATCCGCTGTTACTTTACTTAATAACATTTCAAATTGTTACTTATTCCAAAATATCATTAAAGCGTGATATTGGATGTAACTTACGCAACTGGACAAAGTCAATAGCAGTACTAGTTAAGTTGGAACTAGGTCAGTTGTAATATTAATTACAGGTTCAGTTGGAACTATTTTAGTTTCCTACTTGTAATGATATTTAGGTTTTATTTTAAAACTACTAGAATATTATTTTTATTATCTTCAAGAATATTATCATTCGTAATCATTTACTTGCATTATCTTACTATAATGAATGAATAATATAGCATGCCTATGAAATGGCAGAATTGGTTTAATAAACGGGTTATTATTAAACAATGACGTTATTGCTTAACGTTATAAATTTCTCGATAATAACCTGGACTCGTTTTTGCTGCTATGTCGAGGACGGCTTGGCAAACTGTCTACTCCGATGAAAATATTCCATTGGATCCAACAAAATCAGTGACCAGTTCCATAAGTGTAGAAAGTATCGAAAGTTGTATTAAAAACTTTGGCTGCCAAATTAGAGCCTTCACCCTATCAAGGTGTACGAAGGAATTTATTTACGAATGGTTAGATCTACTTTTAATTATACCCATGCAAATATATTAATTATTTTGTGGTAAAAGCAGAAGTAATAATGATAACGATAACGATTAGAATTATTGTTAACATATTCTTTATGCAAAATCAATTCAAAAATTTCCTGCCCCCATTAATTATTGATGTGAAAACTGTAATTAAATTTTTCATGAAAATTTTTATAACGTATCATAAATTTAGGTATTGTTCGTTCTAGATCCGATTCATTGCAGCTTTCTCAATAATTATTTATTTATGTTGCATTCGAAATAAATGAAGGAAAATATAATTATCATTTTCACGGAATTTCGGCCAAAATTGGATAATTTTCATTGTACAGAAGACACGTGATAGGACACGTGAAATGACCGCTTCGTTCGATGCCAGGAAGACGTCATCATTTCATCAACGCTCAACTGTACACTTGCTGCAACCGGATGCTTGAAACAGAAACTGTAATCATTTCGTATCCAATTGATAAGTCGCCATCCAATAACTAAACTATAACAAACGCAAATATAAAAGAGTTAAGCCAAAAGTTAAAAGGATTTATAATTAAGAACAATATTTTTTTACATTCCTTCATTCATCGATAAGTATAATTCAAGTATTTAAAATTAAGAATTAAAACTTTTTTTCTTTACTTTCGATAATAATTAGAAAAACTTATGTTTAATTTGAAAAACACTTTTATAAAGTTAAGCTATAGCTCAATCACTATCTCAAGATTTAGATGAACTTTGAACATCGATTAACACACGAAGGGTTCATGACAGTCCTTTTTTATCACGGAAAATGCGTTAATCACTAAAACTTTATTAAAAAGGTCAAGTACTCACAGAAAAATAAACTTAACAAACACAATGATTACAGTTTCGTTAAAAACTTGAATCTCCACATTAATAGTGTTGGTCCATTAATAATGTGGAGATTCACTTTGCGAAACATGTATAATTTTTTTTTAATTTAATAACTATCGGGGGCCCATTGCCCATATTGTTGGCTTTTCGAATCAAAAATTAAATTGCTCTATTTCTTCTACTACTATTTTAATGTTATTTTAGGCAATTAGCCCAGTAGTGGCTTATATTAAGCAGTTTTATTTTGAGAAATATGTTGTTACTTCCCTTACATTGGCGAATTCTTTCTTTACATCGATATGAGCGCTTAAATTCAATTCGTAAACCTTTCATATCACAACATCCACAATCCACACATCATCACTTCAGCACTGCTTGCAAAACTTCTGAAATGAATCGGGGCTTTCAGACGTACATAAATGTTACATTCCACTTATAGCCTGAATTTACATATTTTGCGTATCGAACATGTAACAACAGGCAATCAACAGGCTGCCAAGACTTAGGCTGCACTTTAAAGGCCAAAAGAATTGCAGCTTTCAAGACAATGACTGTTTTGTTTATATTTGTTTAAAAATCGATGTTGGAATCATATTCCCTTACATATGTAAAAGAGTGTTTGTGAAAAAGAATTCTTCGTGGTCACCATTTTGTTTTATGTAAGCGAACTAACGAGCGAGCAAGCTAGCGATGATAAGTGATAGCTGCCGCCCATGGACATTTGCAACACCCGTAGGGTTGCATATGCGTTGCCACCCTTTAACAAAATGGACCACCTTGTACCGAATGTACTTCTTTGCTCAGCACTAGTACATTTATAAGGCTGTTGTTTTACTTAACATCTTATTCTGTTGTCGCTTTACACGGATATGTTGCGATTAGAGACTGCGTTAAAACCAGCTACGGTGGATGCCACCAAACTTCTTTTGAATGGGAATAATTTTGCCGGCCCGTTTTCATATCTGATTATCGCTAGCTTTCACTATCTATTTACTCACTTTTTTTATGGGAATCAAGCGAGCAGGCATTTCCCCTGATGTTGACACATGAGACTTTAACTATGGTAGAGCCACGCAGCATTCCTCGGCTATTGCACAAATGGGCAGTCTAATGGCTCGTCTGGGTAAGTACCACGACCTCACAGAAGACCGGCGTAGAGTGGAAGTGTAACAGATACTTTCGCGTTTCGTCTGGTGAGTGGGAGACCAATTTTCAGAAGGTTGTCAATGCATCTGCAACCCTCGGTGTAGCAGATGTCCATGGGCGGCGGTATTCAATTAACATCAGGTGAACCGCCTGCTCGCTTTTCAACTTTACACATAAAAAAAGCGCACGAAGGATTCCGTACCATTATCTATAAAAACAGCAAAAAAATAACGTCCGTTGTATGGGAGCCCCATTTAAATATTTTTATTCTGTTGTTATAGCGGCAACAGAAATACATAATCTGAGAAAATTTCAACTGTTTAACTATCACGGCTCATGAGATACAGCCTGGTGACAGACTGCATTTCTTAATAAGTGTCAAAAAGATAGTTCGACACATCTTTAATGGACGAATGTCGTTTTAACCGAATTGAATGTTTTCATGAAAAATGAGTTAGCTTAGCAGAATTCTACTCATATGTCTACTCATAAGCCACGTAAGAATACAATGACCTTCCAGTTTGGTTGGTAGTCAGATAAATAAGAGTTCCCTTATCACAAGTGAGCCTCGACGTGTTTACACAGGCTGTTACCCTCATGGAAATCGGGTACTCTATAGGAGTTTCGAGTGCAACATTGTGTGCAAAGATACAATTGGGCATGTCCTGGAATAAATTTCAAAGTTTACGACCTATTAGCATAGCATAATCGTTCTTTAATATATCGTTGTTTATAATAGAATTGAGATGGGTTTTAGCAAAACGAATGCTACGTTCAAAATAGTAAACATTCAACTGACATTCTAAACCCAAGTATTAATTGAAAGCACACGGAGAACTAAGCTAAGTATCGAATCCAATAAAATTCAAATCATGACATCCAAAGAGCGAAAAGGGTTTTAGAATTATTAAAGCGGGTATCGTGGTGGCCAAACATCTAACACGAACCGAAGACAAACCAAGCGTCAATTTGTTATTTAAATCTTAAGTATTATTTTACTGACAAATTAACTTATCATTCTTCATTCAAAGAGTTTAACCATTCTTTTGGCAACTCAAATAGCATTTGACAAGCCATTTTACAGCTGATTAGGTAATTTCTACGACGATCAGTGTTTCAGAAACCGGTCGTGAGTCTCTGTGTTTAGTAAGCTCTGATTGACATGCAACATATAGCTTAAAGTGCTGGAGAATGAAACTTTTGCACACAAGTTCTTTATACAGTAGATTAATTTAAAATTAAGGTAGGGTGTTTAAACTCATATATATCATATATACTCATATATATATATACTCATATATATATATCATATCAGTCGATGAAGGTTTTTAAATATACAGATTTGTCTTTAATGTATGTGCTAATAAAATGAAACTCTTTTTACGTATTTATAGCGTACATTTTTAAATTTATTTCCTCGACTTAGGGCCGCGCAGCAGTCTTCACTGTTGCACTATTGGGCAGGTCCGCCCGGATAAGTATCACCACCTCGCAGAAGATGGGCGTGAAGTGGAAGGGTTATACTCCTGCGTTTCGTCTGGTGAGGGAGGTGGCCGGGGCCCACTTTATTAGATACAATTCTGTGGCGCAGTCGCCAAGGTATCGGCTTCGGCACCGGGGGCGTGGGTTCGATTCCCACACGGGATAACTATTTGTGTGACCCACAGATAGTTGTTTCGCATCTGGGTGTTTGTTCGTGTGAAATTTATGTTTGTAAAACGTCCTTACAACACAGGATAATGTTATCCTAAAGTAAGGGCAATGTTTTTTTTTAAAGAAAAAACAAAAAAAAAATCAACGCATCTGCAACCCTACGGGTGTTGCAAATACAATAGGCGGCGGTTGTCACTTGACATCAGGTGTACCACCAGCTCGCTTGCCACCTTCTCAGTAAAAAAAAAACTTTACAGCGGGCATGGCCACGGGACGGACTGGTAAACATAGTTTCATTTAGTAATGTGTAATCGCGTAAATACTATATACGAAATTATCATATGTGCTAATATCTACTGCTACATTACTAAATGCTTAGTTACCAATTATAACATTACATTACTACGTAATCATAGATATTATATAGTATTGAAACAATGAAGCCTGGAAAAAATAAACTTTCATGTAGATAAAACATGTTCAACGGATCTAAAGACAGTTAAATATTATAGACTAGCACTAATATTGGCTTAAGCGGGGTGGCAAATCGTGTAGTGTCGAGCGACCGTACTTTATATTACGTCTGTAGTGCCGCCCTAATGAAACGCGGTATACACTCGAAGAGCGGAACAAGCGTGTTTCGAACAAAAGGGACATCCCGATACCTACCTATAGGTAGGCGGGCGGAGCGTTACATAGCAGTGCACCTGCCCGGTCGAAATTAAGCTTTAATGTCGCGCATTAAGGTCGCTGCGGGGCGAAAACGTTATTTTGTATGCTCATTTCGAGCGTTCCTGTACCCAAAGCCCGCTGGTTTTCAGTCAGTGCCGCGTGTGGCGCCACTGTCGACGGTGGGCGTCGCGACGCACCGAAAACGACCCCGCGCCGCTCCCTCGCGCGCCGCCCGAAAAGAAAAACGTACACCGTACCACAAAAGTGATAGCAGCACACGCGAAATCCCAAGGCCCTGAGTGGTCGAAAGCCCCGGTGAGGTGGTGCGAAACGTCCGCACACGAGCGTACCATAGCTACGGTTTACAAATAACGATACAAAAATAGTGATTTTATACGTGTTTTACGGTACATATCGGCATGGCGGTCGCCCGTGCCGTACGTTTGGACCGTTTTCACCGAACAACGATGTGTATATGTAACGACGGTTAACACAGACGTGTTTATTTACCCGATCATAGAGTGGAATCCTGGAAAATTTTCCCTATCCGGACGTTATAGAAATGGATTCATTCCGCGATCCTATTTGACACCACTTAACGTAAACATATCGCCCACGATGTAAAGCTTTAAACGCATTAGAGATGCTCGCGTAAAACGCAAAAATTCCTCAGCACGCGAAAGCATCATGTCGAAGTAAATTATGGCTAATCCATGTTCATTCATATACGAGATTAGTTTGTGTTCGTCTAAAACGTTCTTCCCATAAATTTATCTCGAACGGTTTGCGTGAAAATTTTCGATCAATTTGCATGGGCATATTTATTGGTAATGCGTAGATGGTATAATTATCTACGTAGGCGTTTGTCCATAAGGAATTACTTTTATTGCACGTAGAGTGCTATGCCATTATGTTTTCCGAAGCACCACCTGTGGCATGGAGTTGTGCGCAATTTTGCTCCCGTAATTTAGTGCGTTCTTGAAAACAGTTCTCAAATTATAGAAGTATTATTTATGTCTCTATTGCAGCCATTAGGAACGTAAACTACTATCAATATTCAAATTGTTTAATGACAATGTCACAATCGCTGACATCCATAAAGGTAAAAGGGGTTTGAGAAAGATTTAAGAAGAAAAGAAAAGGGCTGAAGAAAGATGCGGTTAGTTGTTTTTTTTTAGAGCCGTAAGATTTTGATACATTTACAATATATCATATTAAAACAAAAACTAGAAACGTAATAGGTTTGGTAGGTGATGGATATCCTATCATGATAAGTAAAGTATCGCAATACTTTTTTCATAAATAAAAAAATAAACAAATTACTTAATATTTTAACAAAAAGTTGCCAATTTTTTGTCCCAACCTTCGTTCTTAATAATTTATCCAGTAAATGCTTCGGTAGCCACAGCGAATCCCTATAATTTCATTACGTCAGCGTACGCATTGCTGGATGTCTTCTTCGTTATTGTCTCATCACTACATATTTATTTTACGAAAAGCCAGAAGACCACTATAAGACAAAAGCAGATTGAATTGACAACAGACATAAGACAACAAATGAAGAATTACCAGTTCTAAAGCTATCGCTAATACAAAATAAGCTGCAAGCACAGCTGCCAAATAAACTTAGTCCTACTTTCGCAAATTCCTGTCGGCTAAATTCTAATTAATCATTCCTTTCTTAAGGATCCCTCGAGGGAAGTTAACAGGCATTATCAAGATTGTTATCTAGCAGAAATTTCACTGAAGCACGAACTTTTTGTCTACGGTTGTCCGTCTTACATCTTTTGTTTCCTCTTTTCAAAATTAGAACCTCTCTAGAAAAAGTGTCACTTCGGTTTGTTGAGGAGTATTCTTGGTTCAGATAAGACTGCTTTTGACGTTTTAATTAATTGCTAGATCTTATGGCCACCCTAATTTAGTCGTAAAGATTATTTAAAAGGAATATATAATTTATGGTAACTATTACGTAATTATTTTTTATTGTATGTACCCACAAAAAGCTTAAATTATAAACTTACACTTTTAGGATCATTTTACTGAACTAAATGTTTTGTTTTCAATATTTTTGTATTAAGGTGTATACCTTCTGTTTCAGTAATTTCAACAATTTTTAAAAGAGTACTTCTTCAGATCCTCCTCCATTAACTACAAATTTATATGAATATTTATACAGGTTAGCTAACTTGCCTCATTTATTCTCAATAATGATTAATACTACTAATTCCTAATCGTAATGAGAAGTAGGCATTACAGTTGTAAAACTTTAATTGGTGTCAAAGGGGAAGGTAAAAGAGAACGAAAGCTCCATTTAATTATAATTGTCACAATGTCAATCACATCCTTCAGTCAGTATAATTTCCTAAGCTTAATGTCTCCACTCCAATTCCTATTAATAGAACAAAGACCAATTTAAGATCAAAGCTGTTATTGTCATGAAATTAAACTGCATAGTCATGGAAGTCTTGAGAAATTAATATTGTGGGTTGGCACAACAAGCGAGTAGTGTTTTAATGGAAATAGGATTTAATTGATTTATACATTTTGGCAGATATTCAATAAGTATGTATTTATAATAAAATAACTAATTGGACAATTTATGTTTATTATTACTTTGCTAAATTTTAAAAGTGTATTCGAAAGTTGTCCCAATAGAAGTTACTTGAAAATGATAACAACTTGAATAAACAGTTGGATGAAAAATTACTTAAATAAGCAAAATAGCTATTACATTATATATTAGTAATGATTGTTATAAGATAGCATTTTGATTACGATGCTTCACTCTTGTGAAGATCCTTCTTCTTAGTGAATGAAATATTATACTTCGATGAATACGTTTCATCTTAATAACACGTTACAACTGTAGCTGATACAAGTTTACGATTGAAATTATATTTAGAATGTCCTTGTAGCAGACTTTATAGTACAATTCCACAATACGTTGTCTTTTGTAACATTTTATAGTTTCCTCCATCATGCCGTTGGAATTTTTGTGATATTTTCTAACACTCTAGGGTCATTAACAGTTGCTGGCTTTGAAATCTTGTCTGCTTTTATTTTGCGATAATGTATAGCATTAAGATAATAATTTTAGTCTTCTATTGCGTTGAAGCTACGCATCGCATTTGATACTTATTTTGAAAGAGGGGAATAATATAATGCCTTTCAATACTTCTATTGCTCAAATTCAAATGATTTACTTACCTCGAATTAGCATATTCCTATGTCACTCCTTCTACCACATTGACTATGTTTATAGTCTGAAAGGTTATTGCTCAGTCAGCAAAAATAAATTTAAGTAATTCAATACCGTGAAAGCTACTTCCACAACCTCGTGATATGACTTGATTATTGCAGCCTCCGTCTTTAATAATCAACATCTACGTCGGTCCAATCCTATTTGCTCTGCGCAAACATCATTCACCGTTTTCCCGGCGTCTTCTCATTTTATTATTTCTCTAACATCTTATTTCCAGCACTTCCCATTTTAAATTATAAAACTGCGTTCAATTCAAATCTAATGAAAAAATTTATTTGCAATCGCTGATAGTATCTATTTATGAAATTTATGATTGCTTTTTTATGATATATTTTTACTTAGTTAACGACAAAATCTCAGTGCGAAAATATAAGCACATAATGGTTTCTTAAATGTACGCGATTACTATACATTGTAAAATAAAACTATTTTACGGATTTTATCGTATTTATCAGTTAATTATTAAAAGAGTTGCCATAATCCCGAATTATCTATGACAAAAGTCGTAAAAAAGCTCAATCTTTCTTGTGATCTTTGAATTTAGAGTAACTATGTCGAAACAAAAGAAAAAAAAAACACTACAAAGTTCGGAAAACATTTTCATTTAATAACATAATGATGATTTTCAACGCTAGTCGCTTAGGTCCCTAACGTATCTTCCATTTTCTCAGGGAAAAATTCTCAGCGCTCTGCAAGATAATTCTCATATCCTTTTACATTAGTTCTTTTCCCTGCAATGATTTAAGGTCGGAGACATTGGAAATACAAAATCCAAAGACGTAATTATTCGCCAATCGTCTCCAATCCCAAACTAATCGTTTTGGGATTTTTTTATTGCTTTTATTGAGCAATTTAAAACAATTTTTTATTCACAGTCATCATTACGATATGACAAATACTAAACAAATAATTATCTCAGTACAATAATTTGATATAAGGATCGTGATACATTTTTTAATTTCACATGATGACGTGGCAACTTTTTTGGATGGCTCTTCACTGCAACTTAATGATATACTCTCTCGTCTAGGCCGTTTCTGATCTATAAGGTCATCATCATCATCATATGGATATTATGATAAATATAAAGATTCATGTTATAAAATGCAAATTATCTGACAGATTCTTGTATAAACACGAAAGTTTCATTTATTAACGTTAAGTATCTTTTAAGACTTCACATTCGGTAGGAGATAGAGCTAAAAAAATCTTGGGATTTTAAATTTTAAGCCTGTCCTGTTAATAACCCAAATAAGCCCATGAAAACGCGAGTGAATTATTTTTACCGTATGACCTAATTTCTCTTTGAAGTAATAGAGTCATTTTTCATTCTATATACACCTTGAGATGAACAAAACCCTAAAATTGCTTATTAATGTTAAGAGATCGCTAAAGTAGTTATTAATAGGGATAGATGTTGTAGATCATTTTAATAACCCTGCGTCTACAGCTGACGTAAATGTATTGTATGCGGTGATATGGTTGCTAACAAAAAATAAAGCGTACACCAAAATAATGTTACTAACAGTGTTTCGCAGTCGGTTACAAAACATACCCAGGGCTTAGAAACCTGACTACTGTAAGCACTTATTCGTGTTTTTCACCCACTACTGTACTCAATTATCAATCCTAGGCCTTTTGCTTTGAGCTCCGTCTAGGGTGTTCAGTTGACGTCCGATTCTAGGTTATATAAAGCGGTTGTCAGCCGTCACAAAGCCGGTTCCACGAGTATTACCGACAAAGGAAGGACGTTCGGTACAGCATGTGTGACGGGGTCTTTACGTGGTGTAGTGTCGGGTTACCTCAGCGTAGGCTGGGTATGGATTGCGGTCTGATATGGCGGGTCGAATTATGTATATCCTTGAACTTGCGCCCCGCGTAACATCTTCAACGGTAACATCTCAGTTAAACACTGGATAGTTTGTCTAAGTATTTCTCGAGGTCTCAGACCGTCATCGTTGTTTTCAACGTATTGGTAGTAAGTTTCTTCTTTCAATGGTTTGGAACGTGTAATGAATCATTTAATGATGGAAATACAATGAGCTAAACAAATGAAAAGGAGAAGAAAACTGTAAACATCCCACAGTTCATGGGACTAAATATCTTTCTCGGGGAAGAGTAAACACCGAAGTGGATTTAAATTTATTAGTATTTGTCAAGTATTGTGTACTAACATGAGATTTTAGAGGAATACAAAAATACTGTTTAGAAACACTGAGCGTTACACCAAGATGTAGTCAAAGCGGTAGTAAAACCGTACTATTTAAAAACCAAAGAACGTAAAATAACGGAAACGCTCGAAAGCGATGTGACTAGTCAAATTATACCAAAGTAACATTCCCAATAACTATCAAACCGAAAAGACGATGCCAAAGGCAGGTGATAAGTGATGATAAAAATGCGTAGAGACTATTTGAAATTGAAACTTAACGATCCGGGCACTGGATCTGTGACGGGTGGTCACGGCTCTGACTCCGATGATGAGAGCTCCGACAGAAGCAACAGACGCCCCAGGAGTTGCGCTGAAGACGTCAAAATGATCCCGGTCGCCATCACAGCTCAGGTAAGCGCAGGCCGTAGAGAAAATAACACTATGGTGAACTAAGTTGCGGTTTAAAGATATGAAATTTCCTTATGGTTTCAACAATACTCTTTACAAATATGTAAGAAAGTAAATGTGTACATTTCTTCCTTGTTTAATATTAAATTCTACATTTAAACTTGTACCAAATTTGTTTTAGGTACGCTTATAATGATGTTCTATATGTGGGCTAAATGTTAATAGAACAATAACAATGAAGAAGTTCACATAGCTTAGGCCATCTTATTATGCCATATTATGCTAAAATTTAATTATAACTAGCTCACCCGGCAAACGTTGTTTTGCCACATAAATTATTTGTAGGGTAGAAAAAAATATTTGGGGTATTGGACCACCCTTAACTTTTAGGGTGATGAAAAATAGATGTTGTCCGATTCTACACCATGGCCGATGTGCACACAAAATTTCACGAAAATTGATCGAACCGTTTCGGAGGATTTCAATTACAAACACCGTGACACGAGAATTTTATAAATTAGATAATAAATGTATCCGGACACATTTTTACACAACGTTATTTAGTCCCAAACTAAGCAAAGCTTGTAATATGGATACTAAGTAACTGACTTATACTTACTTAAATTTACTTTTCTTTTGTGAATAAATATGTATTATAGATATATAAGCACATAGATACTGAATAAAAGCATTATGTTCGTAATATAATATTAATTCCCGTAGCGGGAATCGAACTCCGTTATGTTCACTATCAAATACGCCAATAGTCTTCAAATATTCATGTTATATACTTTTGCCTTCTTTTAAGCTTTCTAGATTTTTTAAAATTTTAGAGTTTATAAAAATATATCAATACTCATATTTATTTATATATTATAGGTATTCATCGCTTCAAGATGCTACTCCTATGCTGATCCTAATCCTACTTCAATGACTGGAAACGCACTTGCTATTTATTCTCAGCGTTTAGAGCGTTCATGGGCGGCAGTTATTATTATCAGCAGACCCGATTGCCCGTTTTTCCTTTGGTATATATTGCATTTTTAAAGCATTACTTTTACAAAGTAAATAATAGAATGGATCCTCCAAGGGATTATAATAGAGCAACTTTACAGAGCTGCAGATCGAGTAAGTTCTTAAGTCAACGATTTTCTAGATCTCAGCTCGTGAAATCGCTGAATTTAGCGTAAAGCCACTTGTTTCTCATAATGATATCTGACCAATACCAACTATATGAAATAGTTCATAGCTAACGTTGAATTCTTTTGGTAAACGAACCTTAAGGATTTGTGTTGACATCAAAGCGTGTCGGGTTCGTGGTCTAAAGTTGATTTATTTAAATAAAGTAATGTCGAGAGCCCTCACAGAACGCTAGATGCAATGGCAGCGTATTACGTGGGGCGGGCGGCGGCTGCTAGGAGCAAAATCAATACCGTACTATGTAACCTTTGCGTGCAAAATGTTATTTACGTTTCAAGTAATTTACTTATAAAGTAACACGTATATTAAGACAAAATAAGAATTTACGAGCTCACTGAGCGTTTGTTCGACTGTTATCAGGCAATAACTTTTCGTTCGTTATTCGAATAAAACTTTAAACATACCGCGTGATTAATTAATTATAATTTACCGCATTCTTTAAACGTTTACCAAAAATTTATTTATATTCAAAGAAACAAACTGATTCAAAATAAACTTATTAACAGATCAGAACTGGTCATGAAACCAGTGTTGATATTTTGTATTTTAAAAATAACATGTGAAAATAATATATGTTCTGTAAACAATTTTTTTTGTCATTTTTATTTCAAATTTTAATAATTAATTTATAAAAAATAATTTTATCACATTATATTAAATTACTGTATTTGGAAAAACCAGTTAGGCTAAAAAAGTGCAGTTTTTAGTTTTAATTTGAATATATAAATACGTCGTCCTTTCAATTGCACTATAAGTATTATAAAGAGAAAGATTTAACAAAGAAAGAGATCCATAAAATGCTACAACAGCAGAAGCTGATGCTACACGTATAAACATATAATTTGTAGGGAAAAACAAATGTATTTTAATAAACTGTAAAAAGATTTGTCCATCTAATAGGGGGGACCGAATTACAAGGGATTTGATTGGTGTAAAGAGTTGCTGCTTTTCTTAAAATGCTTTCAAACCAGTTTTACATTTAGGCACGATGATTTATTATCCTTAGATAACAACAATAGCCGTGATAGCTATGTCCGGTCAATAGCTCCTGAATCAATATACTCGCGCAACCTGAGTTCATTTTCTGGTGCTGGCACCAATGAAATTGTTAGTTACAATTTTATAGGCTGACTTATTACGTGCTTAACGGTGGGGGAAAACATCGTGAAAGAACATCGTGCATATTTTCAAAATAACAAAAACAAATCGAAGGTATGTGCAGTTTTTTAATGGGGTCGCGTGGCTGACTATGCCCTGATACCCTCTTTACAGACCTTTGCTCAGTAGTGACATATACAGGCTGTTACTTTTATTTACTTTTACCGTCAGTGGGATTTCATAGGCTTAGAATAGCAGAACGTTGTGTCTATCCCCGTCTACGAATAACGAAAGTATACGAATTAAAGAACATAATTATTTAAATAGAAAATTATCATTCGAGCTTACGGAGGAGAAACAGATGCAACATAAAAAGGGTCATTAAATCGATAATATCGATTTCGGGGGCCGTTAACGCGATTTACGAAGACTTCATTGACAACAGTTTACAAGGCGTGTCAAAACAGCTTTATTTATTGGGCCATTTTTTAACGCATTAACGCGCTAATCGAACCACATAAATATAACGAAACGATTGAAATATTTCGTATGTTTCGGCGGAAACGGAGACCATCAGTTTCTGCATCACTGTATTATAATAATATTTCATTGGAAATAGCCGTTTTAATGAATTGATATATGTATCGGTAATGGGTAAACAAATAGGACCGCGAATTCAACGAGAATATACCAAGCTCGCATTCCAGTATCTGGATAAGTAGTTACTCCTAGAATTTTCACTCATATAATTGAGATTTGGTTGACGAATATTTTTTTGCCTCTAGCCACAAATTAAATAATGGTGATCAGATAAAGAGAAAATATCTCACCTGGTTAGGAAATGTCTTTATTATAACGTATTTTTTAATCTTCTTTCTTAAGCACAAATCTCACCTAGGTGCAGTTGACGCCGCATGTTTTATCCATCATAATGTTAATGATTGGGAACACCATTGGGTGTTGGTGTTTGTTCCGAAGGAAAAATTTCGGAACAATTAGCTGTGAGTCACACAAATACTTGTCCCGTATAGGAATCGAACCCACGATCCCCAGCCGAGAAGTTAATTAGCTTTGATATCGTGCCGTTTTGAGTTGAGTTCGAATAAATAAATAAAATAAAATCACAACTCTGCAGCGACAAAGTCTTTCAGTAAAAAATTGATAATGTATTCAGTATACCATCAAAATATGATATAATACGTTAATCATGAGACAGCATTGCGAAAAGGTCAAAGTTCGGCGTTCGTATAAATATAATTCCAGGAGGTCAAACCGCTATAGATACGTATAGCAGTCATCGATAAATTTGAGCCGTCAACGTAAAGATAAGGCATTACAGTCGAGCATAATTCACTGAGATACCACTTTCTTTGTGATGCTACTGAATCAAATGTGTTCGTGGGATTATACAAAACTTTTTTTTACTCTCTTGAGTTTTAATAACAATTACTACTGGCCAGTTATCACCTCTGGCAGGCAAAAAGCCTCTCTTATGATTTTTTCAAAGCTTATGATTTTTTTTAGATAAATTAACAATTTCTCTCGACGCTCTGGGATCTGAACCTGCGTATTCCGGTTTTGTGCCCAGACGCTTTACGAACTAAGCTAGGCGCCCGATGACTGGCTGGCTGTGTTGAAGAAGAACGGCTTGACAGAAGATCGATACCTAATCGGTAAAAAGTATCAGTAAAAAAAAAGTATCAGCCTATACATGTCCCACTGCTGGGCAAAGGCCTCCTCTATACAGAGGGTATCAGGGCATAGTCCACCAAGAGGCCCCACTGCGGATTGGTGGACTTTTGGAAAGTATCAGTATTAATTTCAAATTCGGTCTGATGATTTGCTTGCTGATTTTTCATGAGCCATTCGTATGAATTTACAGAGGATCGGTGTAAGGTATTTGGTGCGTTAATCGATCCTCCACTTTTTTAATGGTTGACCGCGCCACTGCAATCCATGGGTGGTGCTGACTCATCCTTGCACAGCTCTCCGGCCACAGGACTATACTTGTAAGACACAAAGTAGGCAATTAACTGATATTCTGATTCTGATTCTTGTGTTGGTAATTACTTAACATCAAGTGAACTACCTCGTAACATTAGCTCGCTTAAATTAAATCTCGCTCGCTTACATACGATAAAAACCCTCGTAGAGGCAACACACTAGCTATCCCAACGGCATTGCGAATGATATGGGGCGTTTATTACGGGTATTTTTGTTCATTTGCCATGTTCTCTGACAAATAAAAGTTCTGCAAAGATCTGCATGTCTGCATGTGTCCACTCTTATCCAGGTTAAGGTAACTCGACCACAACGATACCTTGGTTCGGGCCCCAGGTGGATATTAAGTGTTTCTATCCGAGTACATGGTGATATTATATCGCACATTAATGAGTTTTACTTCCTGAATTTCTTACAGTGCAGTGTATTTTGTCAAAATTTATTACGTACTATTATAATCATTTAATAGCATAATAAGCATAGCATAATAGCATAATTTAGTGAAAAGTGTCAAGGTGCATTATAACTGCTCTTCAAAGATTTAATCTAAACAATTAAAAATCATTGTATTGGTTAACTAATTAATGTGTAAATAGTTTATTGCTGACCTTGGTTACACCTCAGAAATATATTTTTCCTCTTCATTATCTCCTCAGTCACTACTAATAACAATAGCAAGATGGAACTTTACGGGGAGCTCTCCAAGCTAAGTCCTCTCTTTAATAGTGACATGGAACGCTTCCAAAAGAAAATTGACGCCAGCCTGTTCCAAAGTGACCTCCAGATCCTTGCATGTGAGTTCTCAGATTTCAGGCAACAAGTCTGGAGCAATCTTAATATGCTGAAACAGCAAGTAGATTTACTTCTTTTGGGGCTTGATAGACATGAGACTGCGTCATGTAGAAAAATACTACTAATTCACGGTATCCCAGAAAAGGAAAAAGGGTCTCCTGCAGCTTCTGTTATTGAAGCATTAACAAACCAAATGAAGTTGCCTGAATTTTCTGAAGCAGACATACCCTCTTGTCATCGAATGGGGAAGGACTCCAGTAGACCACGACCTATCTTGGTTCGCTTCCAAGCCTATAAGAAGCGTAGTGAGGTGTGGGAGGATAAGACTTGTCTCAAGGGATCCGGTGTTACTTTATCCGAATTCTTGACTAAGTCGCGCCACGAAGTCTTCAAGCGAGCTCGCATACACTTTGGCGTGAAGGATTGCTGGACTTCAGAGGGCTGCATTGTTGTCCTCCTGCCAAACAAATCTCGTCGTAGGATCGAGCGCATGTCCGAGCTTGAGGAGCTGATCCAGCGCTACCCAACGCCACATAATGTGCAGCAGGTTGTGAGTGCGCCAAATGCCCGTGCTGGTACATCATCGCAGTCCGAGCCTGTACGTACTCCTTCTAAAGAGCCGACAACTCAAGACCAACCTCGACCGGTCCGAAAATGCACAAAACCGAAAACAGTTTCAAAGTAAACAATGTTGTGCCTGGCTCACGAATTTGGTTGGTTTAGCACTTTTAATGAAATTATCTTGATGTCATTTCAAATAAATAACAATCTGATTTTTTTTGTTAAAATATCTAGAATCACCTTACAAAACTACACTTTTTGTTTTTGTTTTGACATTTTTCCACGACCAAGTTGTTATCAGGTATCTGACATTGTATTGTTGTCATCTGTCATCCATGTCATTCTAGTGTTGCCAAATTTTACCTGAATTTTACGTCTTGTGTATTCCTTTTTTATTTATTTATTTTTTCTTTTTTTTCTCTGCTTCTCATCTGTGTCCAATGGCCAGAATTATTTTACCGTGTTGTTTTTAATGTATATATCTGTTTGCTGAGTTTGTGTGACTGAATGTTATTTTAATGGTGAGGTGCAATTAGGGTCCGATTGGAACTCATTATTTTATACAGTTTTGATTTATTGAGTTATCTATAAATATTTTAGGTATTTCTTTTATAATTATATATTTTTTTTTATCACATATAGATATTTATATTTATATATATATATATATATATATATATATTTTTTTTTTTCATTTATTTATAACATTATATTTTAAATATATAATGCACGACTTCAATGACTCTTTTTTCTCCTGTTCATCGTCTTGCGCATTGGATGAGGAATTTGCCACCCCCTTATCTGATTCTTCTGTTCAGCTTTGTGATCTCTTAAAATTGCGGCTTAGCGTGAACAGAAATTATCTCAATATAGTACATATTCATGCCCAGAGTGTCCCGGCACACTATTCTGATCTTCAGTCCTCCTTTGACTCTTCTGTGGTCGATGCGATACTCATTTCCGAAACTTTCCTCAAGCCCTCTCTTGCATCTACTCAGTACCCTATACCTGGATACCGCTTAATTCGCAATGATAGAACGGAGAAGGGCGGCGGTGGTGTTGCCATGTATCTAAGAGCTGACATCCCCTGTAAAATACTGGACACTTCGCCTAATTGTTACTCACACTCTGCTGAGCACTTGTTTGTCGAAGTTACCTTACAGCACATCAAGCTACTTTTAGGAGTATTCTATAGCCCTAATTCTCACATCGACTACTTTTCTCCTTTCGAATCCAAGATGGAATTACTTTCTCCTCTGTACGAACATACCATTATCCTTGGTGATTTCAATACTTGCCTTTTAAAATCTGATTTCCGTGCTCAACGGCTCCGTTCCCTAGTTGCTTCGCTCAATATGCATATTCTTCCCTTATCTACCACGCATCACGCCCCCCAATACACTAACCCCTCTTTACTGGATCTGATCCTAGTCTCTAATCCTAATATGGTCGTCACTCATGGACAACTCTCCGCTTCTTTTTCCTATCATGACCTTATATATCTCTCCTATAACATACGTCCTCCTAAACCCAAACCAAAATTACTTTATCTTCGCAACTTCAAGGGCATTGACGTGGAGCGCTTGCGTGATGATGCGACTCGTGCTGATTGGTCGGGCGCTTATCTTTCCAACTCAATTGACGAAAAGATTGATTATTTCAATAAAACACTCAGAGCCCTTTATGATCAACATACTCCAGTAAAATGTGTTAGGGCTAAGAGGTTACCGGCTCCTTGGTTGACGGCTGAAATAAAAAAAGTTATGTCCAACAGAGACAAGGCCAAGCGACGCCTAAGGAAGCAACCCTCTGAAAATAATTTAACAGCATACAAACATCTACGTAATCGCTGCAATCGTTTGTGTAGGGATGCGAAAAGACGTCACATTCACAGAAATATTGAAAATTCATCAAATAATCAGGTTTGGAAATTTTTAAAGTCACTTGGTGTGGGAAAATCCTCTCATTATGAACCCATGATAATTGATCTTGATGCACTAAATACACACTTTTCTCGCTCTCCTGTCATATTGGATGACACCATTAAGTCTATCACCCTTAATCGTCTTCTTCTACAGTCGCTACCCAAGTGTACACCTTTGTCTTTTGCACCAGTTTCAGAGTGTGACGTTAAGAGATCCTTTCGCTCTATTTCTACTAAGGCAGTGGGCGTTGATGGAATTCATCATCAGATGATCCTTCTAATCTTGGATGAGCTTGTCCCAGTTCTCACCCATATTCTCAATTTCTCACTGACAACAGGCTCTTTCCCTTCGGTATGGAAAAAAGCACAAGTCATCCCCCTGCCTAAAACTTCCAATCCTTCATCTTTTTCACAATATCGCCCCATCTCTATTTTACCCATCTTGTCGAAGGTCCTGGAGAGCATTGTACAGCGACAGCTATCCTCCTTTTTAAACCTCAATGGTCTGCTAAGTCAATTTCAGTCTGGTTTCCGTCCTGGCCACAGTACGGTTACAGCTCTCCTTAAGGTGTCTGATGACATTCGCCAAGCTATAGACCGCAAGCAGTTGACAGTTTTGATCCTACTCGACTTCAGCAGCGCTTTTAACTCCGTTGACTTTGATGTTCTCTTAGGTATTCTTAAATCTCTTAACTTATCTCCACCTGCACTTACTTGGTTTGATTCTTACCTGCGGGGTCGCTCGCAGTGTGTCCGCTACGATGATGCTTCATCAGGCTGGTGTGATCTTGCTGCGGGAGTTCCACAAGGTAGCGTCTTATCTCCTCTCTTATTTTCAATATTTATTAATGCTGTCACTCATGTAATCTCTTCTCAGTTTCATCTCTATGCAGACGACTTGCAGCTTTACCGCCATTTTAAGGTATACCAGATGCATGATGCTATATCTGGAGTAAACGATGATCTCTCAAAAATTTGTAATTGGGCAAAATTTTTTGGACATCTAGTTAATCCAGCAAAGTCCCAAGCGGTTATTTTTGGCAGCACGTATATGCTCAATTTCATCAACGGTAATAACTTGCCACCGGTATGCTACGATGGTATTACTATACAATACTCTGCTGTGCTAAGAACCTTGGCATTTTGTTTGACGGCAAGTTATCCTGGACCAATCACATTAATGAAGTGAGCAGGAAGATACATTACTCGCTTCATTCTCTCAGGCGTCTCCAAAGGTTTTTGCCCTTTGAAACAAAAATTACACTCGCCCAGTCCCTTCTTCTACCTCTTCTTGACTATGCGGACGTATGCTACTTGGATGCTGCGGAAGAACTGCTGAATAAATTGGAACGCTTACAAAATTTGTGTATACGCTTCATTTTTGGGCTGCGTAAATACGATCATATTTCTAGCTTCCGATCCCAGTTGAAATGGTTACCCATACGTCGCCGTCGAGATTTGCATGTAGTATCCACACTTTACTCAATTCTCAAAAATCCTGCGGCTCCTCTGTACCTCCGTGAGCGTTTTGAGTACATGGTACCGCGTGGTCAACCCTGTCGTGAGATCAAATCCCTTCTTCTAAAATTACACTCGCACTCTTCTTCCTGTTATGGCAGCTCTTTTACAGTACACGCGGTGCGCCTCTGGAACTCTTTACCTCATAATGTCCGTGCCAGTCCATCATCGAACGTTTTCAAGAAAAGAGCAAAGGAGTTTTATTTATCCACATAAAGTATTTTTCTCCTTATAGTTATATATATCTTGTTTTCTATCTTTTTTAATATATATTAAGTGTATGTTATGTATTGTGTATATATGTTTATAGATATATTCATGTATTTATATTAATATATATTTACGCATGGTATGTTAAAGAAATATCTCTGTGCACTAAACACATTTTCAGCTACCTTCAATCAAATATTTTTCTCACCAGGTTAGCTGGCAGAGAACTCATGCATTGAGTTAAGCTTACCTTTTGTACATTACTTTTTTTAAACATTTTTTTTGTATCCTGTGTTTTGTGTACAATAAATACATAAAGAAATAAATCAATAAACATATCGTTCTGTTTTAAATAAGATCAAAA